TTTCTTAGTGAGATTTCAAAAATCCCGAAAGTGCATTTTCTGTACAGGTTAAATCTTACCACTGTTAAATGAAAAGGAAAGTTAGCTTTTCTGAGATGGGCTTTTGATTGTTCTTATTGGTAAGAACACCACATCTACTACTGGACAGAGAGAACTGGTAAGTGTCTTACAGAGACAACACAACAAAGGTTTTGTGTTTTTTTTACATTTCATTGAACTTTTTTTTCCCTTGTCAAAAGCTCCCTCTGCTGTTACGTGTACTCCTAGGTAAGAGTTTCAAGGGTTTGAGACAGTGCTACAGCTACTGCAACACAGAAATTAAGATCAAACGTGACATGTGTAAGTGTCAGTCTCAAAAGCATATGGGGTCTCATCTGGCATTTGTTTTGTGCTGAAGAAACAAAGGCTACAGAAAGAAAAAAATAATTAGGAGAACTCTGCCTGGAAAAGAACCTTCTGTTACACAAACTGAGAGATATAGGTGAGAAAATTCACTTTACTTCTCTTCCTTAGTGAAACGATCAGTAAGGGCCAAAATCTTAATTTATAACAACGAACAGTTGTGATTTTTTCTTTTAATTTACAATCTTCACCCTATAAAACACCAAAGAAATATCAAACCAGCCAGTACAGAGGTAAACAAAATGCTGCTGAGAACCAGCCCCACTCTCACTGCACAACAACCAGGCTGCGAGACAAGGCGAGGTACAACCATCTCCGTTTCCAGCCCAGACGTATCACCTTCCTTGCATTCCCCATCCATCCATGGGACACTGACCTGCCAAGCTTGCTGCAAGGCAAACCAGGTGAAAAGTGAGAAGTGGGTTTCTGGCTTGCCCTAGTATCAGGTTGCTTTTATTAAGTACAGAAGAACATGTAAGACAAGCAGCCTGGGTCTGGATAACCATCAGCCAGGAAATGGAGCTTCATGTGAAAAACGCTGCACTTTCAAAGCCTTCAAATCACACCGGAGAACACAACCCAAACCAAGCAGAATGTGAACATTTTTTTCCCTTGATTGTTCCCGTGAGCTTCAGGAAAGCAGGAATCCAGGTGATTGGACAAACTACCAGACACACCCCATCTGGTTTCAGCTTTGTTATGATTAAGAACTGACAAAGGATTTTCAAGACTCCTGATAAGATTATAGATTATTTTTTTTTTAGCATGCTGTTAAAGATGAGAGAGCAGAGACATAAGCAGCTTAGGAACTGTTCTCATTTGTTGTCAGCATTCATGAACCTCACTCTTAGGGGAGGAATGGATGTCAAGGAGTTGGAGCAATCACCAGTGCAGCGGACTCAAGAGGAACCTGCACCTCTAGGTTTGCACCAAAGAGCAACACCTCCAAGTCACAGAGGAGAGGAGTGCCCAGAGTCCTCAGCAGAGTCAGCAGCTGGTTTCCATTGGACATGATGCTCCACACAGTATTCCTGAACATAAACCTCTCTAAAGCAGAGAAAGCTGAGGGTGGAGATCCAGCACCATTCCTCCCCATGAACCTGTGATTCAAAGGGAGGAGCTCAGAAGACTCAGCATGTTTTCTTTCCAAAACAACCCAAGAGTTTCTTCTAGAAGAGCTGGCTGTGCCATGGCCTGCTCCATCCACACAAAACGAACACGCAAAGCACTGTGGGCACAAGAAGAGCTGTGTACCGCAGATTACAAGAACTTCCCTGCAGGAAATCTTGGCTTAAAGTCATGACTCGGCTCCAAGCTAAAACCCCAGCAGCAGGCTGCTGTCTGCGCCTGCTCGCACTGAACCACCCGTGGCTCTGACCTGCAGCTTCATGCTGTGTAAGGGAGCAGACAGCATCGGAAGCTGAAAAACCACAAGGAAAATTCATCCTGGCTGAAGCAGGGAGAAGGGCCTTTGTCCTGGCTACTGTCATTTCATATGCAGAAATAACAAGGCAGAAACAGAGACATGGCTCCCTTGAGGGCCCTGAAACCTGTGGAGAGGCATCCCAAAGGAGCCGAGTCCTCTCTCCAGCATTTTTAATAGCACGGAGATCTGAACCTTCCCTTGCGTTCCTTTGGACACAGAGCACATTTCACATGGGATGGAAATGTGTTCAAAACTCTTACAGTGCATCCTGGTGCCCTCCCTCTCGGATCCGGGGTACAATGAACTGAACTATAATCCTGTGGCTGTACCCGTAACAGCTAAGCCCAGTATGCAGGAAGCAGAAGATGCTCAGACCCTTCAAGCTAGCAGAGGAGAGCCCGCCGTACAGGTCAAGTGTGGCCCTGAAGAGGGCAGGAAGCAAGTGGAAAACACCTTGACTGCAGAAGCTGCCGAGGGGGCCCTGAGCACCAGGAGCAGAAGAAAACTCTGGCCTCCATGACACAGGGAAGAACCACTGCATTGGCTTACTGCGAGACACAGAACGTCTGCACCGAGTCTCATTAAGTACCTTCGGATCTCAACACATAGCTTTTACACACGTATGTCATTCCTCTTCCCATTATAGCCCACAGTTCAGTAACAAAGTTCAGGGCACCAGGCAGATGGAGAAAGGAAGAGTCTGCCCCAGAGCAAACTACCCCCGAGCCCAATGTGAGAAAAGAGTGCTGAACATGTGAAGTGCTGGGAAACCAAGTGGCTAAACAGAAGGTGAAGATGTTGAAATATTAATGCTACTCACCAGATATCCACCTTTTCAGAGACAGGCTCGTTGCGTATCACCTCTGGGGCCATCCAAGCCACAGTTCCCGCAAAAGACATTTTGGTACTTTTATCACTAAGTTCTTTAGATGTACCAAAATCTGAAATTTTTACTGCATCTGTATGTGTAACTAAAACACTGGAGGGAGAAAAAAAAAAGAAATCAGCATTTTGTAATTTTTCTTGTACCACAACAGCCACTGGGAGTAAATCCCTTGTTAAACAACCCAAACAGTTGATGAGACCATGCTGTTCACAACTGCAGTACAAGACAAGAAGGTTATGCATTTTCATAATGACAGCACTTGCTTGGGGTGGTCATGTTTTGTGCTTCAAATGCATTTCTAAATGCTGCGAGTCAAAAATCAATCCTAATAAAACTGCAAATTAACAAGCCACCAAAGATTCACTGTATCTGGGGAGATTCCAAAAGGTAAGTAAAGCTGTACCTTAAACTGTGCCTTAAAACATCTACAAGTATTATCTTAATATACTATCCAGTCATGTCACAGGCTAAAGAAGTAATAAACATCTAGGGAATAAGAATATAAGCAGCCAGGTAGTTTTAGGTCAGAAAGCAAGAGAGAAACAAGAAAGACACATTCCAGAAAAACAGGGAAATAGCAAAAGAACAGATAAGAAGGAAAAATAAAAAAGCAGAAGGCAACACAATATTCCACTTTTGAAAAGGACCAGACACCATCAAATCATTAGGAATATTTCCTGACTGCTATTTATCACGTAAGATACTGGTAAAATTTCCAATCTTGTTAAACTGCAGTACAGGAAGGGAGCGCCAACCAGTTTCCTTAGTTCCACTCTCACTAGTTTTGAGTCAACATGGCAAAATAACCATGGTGGTTTTGACCTAACTTTAAACTATTCCTTGAGAAGAAAAAAAAAAAAGACAACCACAGTGGGGGGATGTTTAAGTAGCTAAAGACTCACTTTGGTGACTTGAGGTCTCGATGGATGATTTTGTGAAGGTGCAGATAATTCATCCCACTTGCAATCCCCGTGGACCAATCCACAAGCAGTCGAGGGGTGACTTTCCGCCCTGCTCGCAGCACTTCATAGAGCTGTCCGTGTGCACAGTACTCCATGATGATGCAGTAGCATGGGGCTTGCGTGCAAACTCCCCTGTCAAAGAAAGCACACGGCTAGTGAGGATCAGTAGAGTGGCAGTCCCGGAGCAACTCTCAAAGGTGGCAGGCAAGGGGCAGGAGAGGAGCCTGCTTACACTGCCAGGGCAAGGCTCTACTAACGGCTCTTCCTCCTGAACAGGAAGGGGAATGTTTCCGCTTGCTTTGGACAGGAGGAACCTCATTTCTGACAGGAGTGGGTTTCCTCCAACTTCCACACTGGCAGATTAGCAGGGTTCACTTTATGAGCCCACATGCAAGGCGTGGCACTGGGTGAGAACGGTGTCCCTGGCTTTGTTTTCACCAGAACATCCGACAATTTGAGAGAAGGATGGCCACCTGCTTTGTCCTACAGACAGCTTAGTTCCTGGGTTTTGACAGCTTGGCCAGGGGACATAAGTGAATGGCTCTTCCCTGGATAAAGATACGTTTCTAACACGTGTCACAACCTACTTGAACGCAATGATGTTAGGATGTTTGAGTTTCCGCAAGTGCTTGATATCCGTTTCGTTCTGATCTCTCACTTTCTTGATGGCCACCTCCTCTGCCCGGAATTTGCCCAGGAAGACAGCTCCCTGCGCACCGCTGCCCAGCCACTGCAGCTCCGAGATCTCCTCAAATGGGACCTCCCAGGTATCTAGGCACAGGCAAGATAACGTAAAAGATCAAGACCACAGAAATGTTCTGCTGTAAGATCGCACCAGGACAGCACTTGCCGTCTCCCTTGCTAAATACCAAGGCGGAGTTTTCCAGGGGTAGCAGATGGCATCTTTTCCCAGCGCAGGCGAGGCACAGACCACATGTGCCCAGCCCCAGAATCCCTTTTGTCCAGCTCTGCTCCCCCATCGCAGTTGCCTCCAGCCTGTTCCCTCCCATCTTCCCAGCTGCTTTTTCAATAGAGGTCACCCCACTGACCCCTCGGGTGAGCGCTTCGACTTGGCAGGCAGCAATTTAACACGCCAGGGCCGCTGGGTTGGCAATCTGGGGAGGAGGTCCTCTACTCCAAAAATGAACACGGACAGTATCTCTTATAAAGCACATGACTCCATTGAAAAGCACAGATAAGAAGAAACATTTAACATTCACAACCAACATGAAAAATATTGAGGGTTTTTTCTCCTGAAATAGGAAGTAAAAGGGAAAGTCAGAGGTGGCAGGTTGTAAAACACAGAGCAGCAACCACTAGGTTACCCAATGCAAAGCACATTAACCACCACCCCCCGTCACAGAAACAGGTCTTTCCCACACCAACAATGGGTATATCCATGTCAGAGAGGCAAAAAAATCTTAAGGGATTCCTCCTCTGAGGTAGCCAGATGCAGCTTGCAGGGGGACTGCCAGAGTGGTCCAGCAGTGCCGTATAAACTCTTTCAGAGCAGCTGTACCCATCAGAACGCCTTGTTGTCTGTGAGTCACCTTGAAATTACCTTAACATCCCACAAACAGCAGGATAAAAGGCAGGCAATAATTTATTTACTGTAACTCAGTGAATGTGTACATTTAGAGAATAAATTATTTAGCAGCAAAACCGACAAGTAACCCACTGATAACTGAAATAAAAGAAAGTCATGCCTGCACACATCCCGATTTAGATCCCGCAAAGATGTGTCTTCTGCTTTCATCCAGTCTCCGAGACACTGGGGTCTTCCCAGGGCTGCAACTGGGATTACCCAAAAGTGTCTGGTTTAGATACTGTCACCACTGAAGGGAAACTTCTATACTCAAACTGTTCACCCTAATTCAGATCTTTCCCTCAGACCATTCCTGCGACAGTCAGACATTAGCTGGATGTCTGCTGCTCTCCGGGCACGGCCAAGGAAAGCCAGCTCCCATCCGGAACCAGACCCCAGGGCTCGTTCTGCTCACTGAACTAGAAAAAAAACCCATGGTTAATCTACAGCAAAAATTTCCTCCAACTAGGCAGGGCAAAGTTCAATCCTCAGCACAAGTTTCCTCTCAGACACAAGTCTATTTTTCAAACTGATACATCCGCTTACAGCTTTACACTGGACAAAAATATTAAGACAGCACACGCGGCTCAAATAAATTGAGAAGATCTGTATTTCTATTTGGTTCACAAACGCATCGCTTCTGAAAGAAGGTGGCAAATACAGTTGATTTTTGTGTTTGTTGATGAACGGCACTTTTACGTGGGCAACACTGAAACTATTCCGTTGTACTGACATAGCTTTTCTTTACACGTGGGAAAACTGCCTTTCCTGTACCAGGCACGCAACAGTGTCCCTTATTTCCCTGAAGCACCCGAAGTTTGTGAGCAGTAACTGTGAGCAGTATATTGCTATCACCTAGAAGCCCTAATTTTCTTTTAATATTAACCTATTACCCTCCACAATGGCAAGGGCAGAGAGTGATTGTAAGCAAAGTAAGCAAAAGTTCATGCGCTTCCTCCTGCAAAGTCATCTCGTGTGTGCTTGGTAGGATATATCCTTTCCCATATCCCACTTGCACCCCGATCATCAAGGGCACTATTCAGGGAAGAGGTTTCAGCGTAACAACAATTAGGGAAACATCCTGTATCTTTGGGAATTTCAAGAACAAAGAGCCAAACCATATATAGCGTACAATGCAACAGTTAAGATGAAAGTCCCCTTTCACCGTATGACAACTCGTTATTACATTTCAAGACAGCCAACCTCAGCGATTCATTTGGCTCCCATAATGTATGAAGCACTGAAAAGCTTCCCAAAGACGCTGATGTTGATGGAAAAAAGCACTGGACTACATTCAGTTGAAAACCAGGGTTTGTCAGCATCAGTGGTGCAAACCTGTATTTTCCACTACAACCCAAACCTACAGAATTAAAAAATACATCTAAATCACCCCGTGTATGTGCTCCCTAGGGCTGCCTGGGACCACCCTCAAGGCCAAGAGGCTGACAAGGGTCGGCATGACAAAGTCAGTCTTGGGAGTTCTGCAGAGGGGCAACGGGCAAGGCTGGAGAGGAGAGGACTGAACACACCGCCAGCTGAACGTTGAGGCCATGCACATCACCCGGACAGCAGGTTCCAAAGCCCTCCGAACCGCCTGTACGGACCCATCCTGAAGAGCCCACAACCCCCTGAAGCAAAGAACGGTGAGTTACGGCTGTCCCAGCTACGGCACATCCACACAGCAGGTACAATGAGAAACACAGCGTGAGAGCAGTGATGTGAGATCTCTGTCATCTCAGCCAAGAGCCTGAACAGAAAAGGACTTGAACAAGCCACCTGCAAGAACCTGGGTGTGTGGCTATGAGGACTAACCACAGTTAAGCCGAAATGCTTGTCCAGAAGAGTAACACCCCTGACGATCAGCAAGGATCCATGCCTGGACACACTAATCAGGGCTCGACTACTGCCAATCTTGTTCCAGAAGCCCACTAACATTGCTCAGCTAAACGTCCTTTGAGACTGCCCAGACTTCAGGGCTTGCCACAGCTCTCCTAGGAGAGTGGCTGGAGGCCCCCTCCTCCAGCAGAAGAAAGATGAGGATATCTCCTACCAGGACAGAGCAGTTTTTATTCCAGACTCTTCTGGGCCTAAAGAAACCTGTGGGATACTTCCCCTAAATAAATTAAAGTGTAATAGCGGGAGGAATTACGCAAGAGCTTGCGTTTCTAAGGTGATTAAGAACCATTTGAGTAGAATGATGGGAATCTGTTTCCCATGGGGAAGACACGCAGGAGCAGCCTGAGCCATTGAGTCAATCTATTTGAAGCAAATTTTTGCCGTTTGCCAGCACCGGCTGCTCGCCAGCACTGGCATTATGACAAGAAGCATCTCTGGTGTACAAAAAAAAACCCCACAAACACAAGCAAACTCTGTAAAGCACCTTGCTCTCCAGGTTTACACAAAAACGCACACGATGATGACAAACACGTAACTTGTGACCGGAAAGGTGAAAGCAACTCCTGAAGGCAGATTCTTAATCCAAAGGAAATTGTTTGGAAGTCTGATGAGCCCACAGAAAACAAACAAATCTTACAATAAAGTGCTAGAGTCCCAGTGATCCAAACGAAATAAGTGGTAGACACAAGCTAACGAACTAAAGAGATCTCTCCCTGAAAGCACTGACCAAGCGCCTTTAGAAATGAGGGCAAAAAACTGGAAAAAACATAGTCAGGAGTGATTGTGCGGGTCAAACCCAAAATACTCAAATGTCAGATGATCAACTGGCAGCCACTGAACAACACCCAAGCAAACGCTGCCTGCAGGAAGACTATTCAGGTAGAGCATTTAACGCCCGCAGCTGGCACTGTGTAGTCAGCCAGCAGACCGCCCTGGGCAACTCTCAGCTGACCAGAGCCCTGCCCGGCGTGGGTGCTCAAGGGAGGCACAGCAACACACTCCTCCTGAATCATAGAATCATAGAAT